GATTGTTTCACTATATTTAATATCTCTTCTAGTAATATTACTTAATTATCGCTCATATACAAAAAAACTAGTTTAATAGATATTAAAATTATATCATAATATATTGTGATATGGAAGACGATAAATATTTAGGCAGAGATAGATTTATTGCCATCAGTATAACAAAAAAGCTTTTCTAGTTATTGAAGATATAATCATTTTACCTATAAGCTTCTGACATAAAGTCTAGCAGTCTGCAGATTCATTTTACTAAAATAAATCTACAGTTTTCGTTGCAAACGAAGATCTTTATTCTCATAACCGTTTATCTTCTTGTTGAAATTTATGTTCAAGTTATAAAATCAAACACATTGCAATTGAACAATTCAAGTTGTTTTAAATTCAATTTAGTAGTAGTGACGTGTATTTTAGTTTAGATGAAATCTCAATTGCTATTGAATATACTTTCCTGAGTTATTGCAAAATTTTGTGACAAATTTAAGAAAGTTTTGCTGTAATCACTTTATTGTTTCGCGTTGTATTTTTTGCCTTTCTTCTTATATCTTATTGTCATTGTTACTTCAATTCACTACACAATGAAAACTTTCACCTATTGTTGATGTCAAAAGCTTGACTTGACATGATTTGAAAATGTAAAGGTCTCTTCTTACTATAAGTTAATAGACAAAATTTTATTATAAAATTTGAACTAAACTTATGAATATCTACAATAGCTAATCGATTACAATTAACTCGATAAGTTCATCTCGCATTTTATTGCAATTTTCCGATAACTGCTGGTAATTTGAAAAATTCCAACCTGCGGTTTTGAATTATATGGTCGTTGTATTGATCATGTATGATGTTGTTTATTATCTTCAAATAATTGATGATAACATTGTTGGCAGTAAGAAATAGTCATAAATATTCAGCTATATAATCTTGTCATGAAGTAATAAAAAATGAAGAAACGAATCAGGAATATCAAATCATCATATTCTATTTTTTTCTTATAATGCCTATTTTAAACGACCATGAAATGCAGCCAGACATAAAAAGATGAAATTAGTTTTTCGGTGCAATAAAACCGATGCATTTTAGAAAATAATTAATATAATTTTTTATGTAAGAAGATCCTGTATCATTATCCGACCTTGTCAAAATCATTTAGAAAAACCACTAAAAGAAGAAAATAACTATAATGCTGAATTCATAGTATTTCGCGGATGAACATAATTAAATACTTTTTTTTATAGATTTGCATTAATATAATTCCATTTCTAAGAGGTGTGCAAAAGGATCACAGAATTAGTTTTTTTTAAATAATTGATCAAAATGTAAATTCTGATATTTATAATAAATTATTAATAATAAATTTTATTTATAATTCAATAATGATTCCATAGCTTAGAATTTAATTAGTATTTAAAAACAATTTATTTTAGTTACTATTTATAAGGAAACATTTGGGAATCAAACCACATTAGAAAGTATAATTAATATTAGATTAGCAATATCTATAACTAATTTATATAAGTTAATAATTATTAACACATAAAAACAGTGCAAAAAGGTGTTAATATAATTGAACATATAATAAAATATATAAAAAAGATATAACATAAGAAGATGTAAAAACAGATGATTAAAATCATTTAGCGTACGTAGGGAAAAGTGTTTCTATATTCTGCACTTGTTGAGTAAGCCTCAGAAATAAATAAATTAATTAAAATCATAAAGAGTTTGTGTGAAAAGTCGCAACAATATGATAATATACCGAGTGATTTTTCGGACCATCGAACGTGGATTGTTAGTTGAAGAGCTCAAGTTTTTCATGTCATAAGAACATGTAAACAGACTTTTTGCGCATTTTTTGCAGACCACAATGGTTCAATTACCTGTCCAGTATAAAAATACCGGAATATAATTAACTGATAATTACAACATATGATAATATCGCAGAACGTGTAAATATTCTTGTTCTTTATTTAAAAGTTAATTTTATTTAAGTACGGAGGCACAAAAGTTTTCTGCTTCCAGTTACAGTTGACGACTTAATCCAAGGACCCATATCTTGGCACAGATTTATTACCAAACCAAAAATTCTAATTTGATCATAAGAATATTATAACAAGTAATATCAAAATAATATTAAATATGAAGTAATTTTATAATTATATATAATCAAAAATATGTATTTATGTGCAATTATTGCTAAATTATAATGAATTTCAAACTTAAAAAAAAAATACAAAACGAATTGCATTTGAGTTGATAAAATAGTTACAATATAATACTTTAGTTCTTTTTCCATATTAAGTTTTCATGTAATTTTGTATGATGAAAGAAGAAATATAATTATTTTTATTCTCGATTCAAATATTGGTCACAAGAAACTTCGAAATTCTTTCATATTAGTAATATATTTGGATCATGGTTAATTTAACGGAAGATATCATTAGAGATAGCTAGAAATGCGTCTTTAATTTACCAACTCCAACTCTGATTTAGATGAATTATAAAAAAAATTAATAGAATACATTATCACCTAATTTCATGCTAATTAGATTTAGAAAGTATCTTCACATTTGGAATTATATTAAAAACCAGATAATCAGGATTATTTACGCGGAATTAATACACAAAGTGAACGTATTATAGTAATTTTGCAGTAGGATGATATTTTAATAATATTTAATCGTGTGAATATTTATGCAAGTATTACATATATTAAAACAATATAAAAACCAGTATACATTTTACACACGACAAAATGAAACCGGTTCGCTTTGCTTCCGTTTTCTTATAAATATATTTTGACTTAATTGAGGCCGTCTTAATCACATATCGAGAAACGTAAATCAACAGATACATATCGTTTACATCGAGGTGTACTTTTATTTCACTTTATAAAAGTAAACTATATAAATATTCTTTTCTAAAGTTTTTTTACGATATATTAACGATAGTCGATGAATGAACTATTCTGATAAATTCCAAATAAAAAAAATATATAGTTGGCATATTCAATCGAAATTTCTCATAATGAAACTTTGTACTGAATTTTTATAGAGAAATAAAATTTTGATATTATTTGATTCAGAGTTCTAAATTCCATATCATAAATATAGAAAAAGGAACTTATTCCTATATCTACATAATCGATAAAGAGAAATCGTAATTCAGAATAACTATTTTCAATATTCCTAATTCGAACCGGAAAATGAGTAATTGACGTAATGAATATATAATAAAAAACGAGAAGTAAAACTCAAAAGCAAGCATTTTTAAATCAATATTTCCATAACTCAATAAAACAAACACGAGCCAAAATATGAATGTTTGATTTACAGCATCTTGCAAGGCTAACGACTGCTTATTGATATTCCGGATACGGAAACGGGCTTTGAACTTAAACTTAGGAAATATTCGGAAATACTATTTGATGTCCGAGCTTTATTACAATATTACGGAACTACGAAACGTGTTTTATGGAAAACTTCCTAATACATATGTGTAGATTTTATTTTTAACGGTCAATAAATATATGTATAATGAAAAATAATAATCTTTCTCTCTCCTGAACTGTAGGATGCTCGGCACTATTTTTTCCGAAAATTATATATTAATCCAATTTTGAATTGTCCTCTGCATTTGTATGTAGTTAACAAATACGATCAATATTTTTCAAACTTCATATAGAGAAATTTACTGACATAGTAAAAAATTAAAATGATCTTTACATATATATATATATATATATATATATATATATATATATACTAGCAAACCCGACGAACTCCGTTTCGCCACCAAATGGTTTCGTGAAAAAGATGAAGAAATTTTTTGTTTGTTTTATATTTTAAAAAGAAAAATTTGATTTTATTATACAACAGTAACGAATTTATTTTGATTACAAAAATGAAGTGTTTTTTAGTTGAACTTCTCTAAGTAAATGAAAGTGAATCCGCAAATTATCCGTTTCATAGAAGTGATCTTTGGTAAACCACATTTTTTGTTTTTTGGTCTGACGTTAACACAAACAAAGCGGATGGTTTTCCAACTTGTGAACAGGCAACGTTTGACTGCCCATGTAAAAAACAATGATTTTCTAAATAATCTATTAGAAATTTATCCCGCAAACACTAAGCGATTGGCTTTGCGACTTGTTATTGCAAACGCAAGGCGAACTGGATATTGCAATCGTTTGAAGTCAAACGGAAGACCAGTCAGAATCATTGGTATGTCACCAAATCGCCAGCAATTTTTGATTGAATGGTGAAATTCAGAGCGTGTACATCATTATTCTTTGCGGCAAGAATTGCTCGTTGACTTAACCAAGCATAATTCTGATAATTCTCACTAATGTCATTAATCGAATTTTTAATTACGGTGCGTGAAGTTCCAGCAGCTTGCATTAAGGCATGATGCCATGCACAACTAATTTTCTTAGCTATAAACCTTGCTGAGCCCGAGACCTTTTCAACAAATGCAAAATTGTCGAAATCGGTTCGTGCGTTATTTCGTCAGGAAGGAAAACCCGACTTATTTTTATATATATAGAAGATAAGCTATTTGAAATTATTTAAAACAGTTATTGATTATTTTTATTACTCTAATTTTTAATTACGGTGCGTGAAGTTCCAGTAGCTTGCATTAAGGCACGATGCCATGCAGAACTAATTTTCTTAGCTATAAACCTTGCTGAGCCCGAGACCTTTTCAACGAATGCAAAATTGTCGAAATCGGTTCGTGCGTTCTGGAGTTATTTCGTCAGGAAGGAAAACCCGACTTATTTTTATATATATAGAAGATATATATATATATATATATATATACATATAGCTTGGTATGGCACACACAATTTTCAGGAATGAAAATAGAATGAAATAGTATAAATTTTGAAAAGATATTAAAATTTTTTCGAAATCCTTAATCTGATAATAGAATTATCAATCAATGTGCTTTTTTCTAGATAGAAATAAAGTATGATTAACATGCTATTTTTTATTGTATTTTAGGTCACAAGGAAATCTTACATGGAGTTAGTGGACACTTCAGAGCTGGCCAACTCACAGCAATCATGGGGCCGTCAGGTGCTGGCAAAAGTACATTATTGAATGTATTAGCCGGATATATGTAAGTTTCAAATAAATGTATAAATATATACAAACACACACACACACACACACACACATATATATATATATATATATATATATATATATATATCTCGCCACAAAAAAATAAGTAGATCGTTCTACCAAAATTAAATGAAGAAAAAGATTATTTTGCTTATTGAAAAAGGAAGCAATACTTGTTTATTATAGAAGAGCATGCATATTATTTGTTTTTACATATTTATTGATTTAGCTTAGAAACATATATTGCGTATCAATAACGGCGTCACAACATGCTTAAATTATATTAATAATCTTATATTATTATTAAGGTATTACTGTGTGGTGACGACAGCGCTCGCAATAAATGAGATATTTTAGTTATTTCAATGTCATCACATACGACTGTATATTTATCTCATTGTCAGTAGGTATAAATACTTGCGACATACTTATCGAATGTGCGATATCAATAATGTCATCCAGTTTTTATCACTAAGTACTTCCAAAAATATGTTTGCATCTTCGTAAATCTTATAATAACATACATCTCTATTAGAAAGATCTCTATTAGAGATCTATATAAACAATGCAAAGATAATATGGGGTTGTAAATCTTTCAGATTATGAAATACTTTCAATTTCCAAATTTCATTTTGTTAATATCTTTAAAATCACAGGTAACTATCATTGTTGACCAGGTCTATTTATATTTGAGCGTTAAAATAATGTTGCAGATAAGAAATATTAAACTTTGAAATTCGGGTTTGAAAGAATAATGCTGTGTCACCAAGGTAGAAAATTATCATTTTAAAATCAAATTGCTAATAATAAGGAACATAACTTATTTAGTATACCATTAGGAGCTTTATATATCCTAAGTTTTGAAATGTCTCATATTTTGAAAATACCTTGCAACGTTGCAACGGACTGTGCGCTGTACTTTACTGTACTTTATTCCGTTAGTATAAAATAGTAGAAATCAATAAAAAATATTTTAGGTGCATAAATCAAGAAATAATTGATTTTGAATTGAAAATGCTGTTTTTTTAAAAAAAAAATTCAATTATGTATATGTGAATACTTTTTAGATGCCGAGGAGTATCTGGAACAATTGAAATGAAGGATGTACAACCCGCAAATGACGAAGAAAGTGAAACCCAACACATAAAAAAAGGTAAAAAGTTCATTCAAGCTGAAGTACGTATGGTGGTCGAAAGAAACTATATTGATCTATAAAATTTGTTTATATTTTCACCTACAGATAAAAGTTCTTCTTGCCGATATATTCATCAAGATGACAAACTGCGTCCGTGGCTGACGGTACAAGAAGCCATGTCCTTAGCCGCAGCACTAAAATTAGATAAAGATGCACCCAAAAGAGTTAGAGACCAAAGGGTAAGCCATCTCAACATGAAATCATATTTACAATCATAGTAATATATAAAACCAAACCAAATATAATATAAAACCAAACCAAATATTGACTAATAAATTAAATTTTGAAGTGTTCTGATATTGATGGTCTATATTCCTCAAGAAGTCCGATTTATGATGAAACTTCAAGAAATACTTTGTTGGACTTACAAGACCTTACACATACACTCGCAACCTCGTTATCACTTTAATCATAAAAATATTTATCTTTTTAGTGACTTTGTCATGTACACGGTATGATTGATTTATAAATCAACTTTGGTATATGCGTTAATAATATAATCCAAATGCCATTATAAAATGCAATATAATTTATATACCTACTTCTCTTGCGTTTTCTATATCACATCGTTCCTAAACACTAATTCTTTTATCATTAACTGACTGATTACAAAGATTTGCAATGATCTCATTTGCGTTTTGATAAAATCATATTTCAGTTTCATAAAAGTTCAAGAAATTACGGAAAATATATATCTTTTATAAAATGTCTTATTCTACAGTTGGAAATATTTTGTTGAATCTTAATGCAAGTAGAAACAATGGAATAGCACATACATATTTAACATACAATATTTTCACGTTTGTTATTAACATACAATAAGAGTGACTAAAGCAATAAAAATAATCGATTTGTTCTCAAACACGTTTCATAAAAATAAACTTCGTCGAGTATGAAGTACAGGTTTCAAAGTAATAGCATTGTTAAACTTGATCAAGTCAAGATCAAAATCCTTTCACAGGCTTGTGTTTCTTTGATTAAGGAACCCGGAATGAACTTATGGTTGTTCGTGTTTTGCAGTGGGTTTTCTTCTAAAAGAGTCTTCTAAAGTATTTTGATGATAGTAAATATACGTTATTTGAACATATGACTTAATATTAGGTACTTCCTGAACAAAATACCAAACCGTTAAATTTTGTAGAAACAATAGTATCAACCAATTTTTTTTTATTATCTCTTATTTACAACTGTCCAGTAAAGGACATTCAATAAATTTGATGAATTTACAATAGTCGGCCGAAAAGGGACATTGTATACAACAAGGGCATGTTGAAAAAAACAACACAGTAGTTGTTTTTCCATTCGATATAAAATTCACAATATTATATTGATAATTATATAATTTTAACTATTTACTTATTAAATAATTTCTTATAAATAATGATTAAGTTATTTCCATTTTTTATCAGGAGAGTTGATGGCTTAATTCTTGGATAGTTCTCTGTTATCAAGGAATTTGCTAACGAATTTGGATGTGTGATTAGCTTGTTTCTATACTTTTGTGCTGTTTTTGTTATTACTTCATTTATGGTAGGTGTATTCGTGTCGACATGAATCAACCAGTTGGGAACATATTTTGAGCTCCTAAGGCAATTTTCAAAAAATTGTTTCGAAATTTCTGTATTATTTCTATATTAGTCTTATGAGCACTGCCCCACAATTGTATACCATAGCACCAAATTGGTTTGAATAAAGATTTATATAAAATAAGCTTATTGTATGAGCTTAGTTTGGATTTAGTCCCTAGTAACCAGTAAAGCTTTTTGATTTTTATCTCTCTTTTTTTATATGAGTTCGCCAATTAAGTTTTCTATCGAGGTATATGCCGAGATATTTCACATGGTCTTCTAGAGGTACTTGAGTATTTCCTATTCTCACTGGTGGGCAGGTTTCTTTTCTAAGCGTAAATGTACTGACTTTAAGCCATTCATTTCAAATCTCCAGGTTTTGTTCCATTTTTCTAACCAATATAAGAAAGATGTGAACTGTAGCCTAATTATATTGAGTTGGAGTCAAGAAAACCGTATTATATGAAATATTCCTATTTAAGTATTAGTAGATTTCGAAAGAATCTCTACTACTTCCGGGAACTTGAGCAGACTTTTGTTAGCAAGGCTCAAATAATAATACTGATACACATATAATGAATGATAAAATATATTTAACTACAGCTCAAAAATCGGTCTTCTTTGCACAATACAGGTTAATGCATCACTTGTGTCAGAATCATAATGAATATATGAAAATAAACAATTCCACAGTGCAGAGAATGTTGACCTTCACCTCAGGCGTGCGTGCTCACTTCGAGTCTGAAGTTTCATTGCCAAGTACACCAGCAGAGATCTCTCGAGAGATCAAGTTGTCTTGCCTAGACCAACGGAACTTTCACAATTTTATCATCGTTCCACTGATGTATCCATTGCTATAAATCGTTAGGTTTCAGACTAATGTGTTTCGCTTGATGTAGTAAAATTTACCAACCGGTTATTGTACTGTTTCTAAAACTTGGAAGTGAGATAGTCACCTCACTGGGGTACACTCCAAGAACCTATAAAGCTCAGACGATTTTCTTTAAACGTGCATTATTGAAAGACCTTGATTTGTATACAATATTTCTTTCGTATTTATTTATATGTGCTGCATGAAAGCACCTGCACTGAATGATAGCAACTTATTTCCGTATTTCTTGCTAATTTGAGTTTTTCACTTGTGACAGTGTCTATTGTTAGAATTATGAGACCTTAATTTGACGACCTCATAAATCCAAAAATATTGAAAATTTTCAGAGAACTTATAGATATTTTTTTGCAGTTGAGCTGGCCATGGTGGAAACGTGGTATAGCAACCCCTGGGCTCGGGTTCGATACCCACCTATGCCAGTACGATTTCAAAAAATAGTGATATCAGATTTTCACTTGAGATTATAGATCTCAAATATAGAACAAAAAACAAAATCTAATAACATCAGAAGAAGAATGGTCAACCACCGGGTTGCCTTCTAGAAATACTAGATTAAGAAATTACATCAATATGCCACAGAACACAGTTTTGTTTGTTGAAATATATAAAAACTAGTGGGGCGCATGGCATCTAGCCTTAAGGCAAATTGCTGTAACTTCCCGTGCCAAATATTACTATTTTTTTAAAAATGATTAACATTTTTGAAAAAATTTCACTTCAAAAAAATAAATTTTTAAGAAACTATGAATTTGACAAAAAACTACTTTTTTTTGAAAAAAGAAGTTTTCTTTATTTTGACATATTTTGGAAATTCTGATCTTTTTTTCTAAGCAATCGTACTGCTTTAACTGCATAGAGATAAAATATCGAAGCGCGTAAGCGACGCGTCGCCGTCTAACGGGTAAACATTGGTACGGAACCCATAAGAATGTAAACAAAATGTATACTTATTGTTAAAATCTCTATAAAATACCTGATAATTTGATGTGCATATGTCTAATGATCATTTTTGACCGCCAGATGGCATTTTTTTAAATTTTCTTTTACTAGATTTCCGAAACCGCTAAAAATGCCCTCATGAAAATTTGATCAGTTCTTCATCTTGGCAATACAAGTAAAATGCTTTTTTGAGTTATTAAAATCGGACGCTCCGTTCCCTTAAAAACTGAGTTACCCTTTTTGGCACTTTTTGCCCCATATCTTCGGAACGGCCTGTTTTTGCCAAAAACTAATCAGCACGTCTCCTTATCAATACGAATCGAATGTTTTTTGAATTATTCAAATCGCTTCATCCGTGTTCTCGAAATCGTCGACGAAAATTTGTATCCGCACACACATACACACGCATACACACACACATACACACATACACACACACATACATCCATTTTTTCTAAGGTATGCCAAAATGTTCAGAAGGTTTTGAAACGTAAAGATATATAAAAAATTTCATTTTCGATTTTTTTGCGATTACTATAACACCCTACGGGAAGTTAATTATACCATTAGTATCACATTACTAAAACATTTTTTTGTATTAGTAAAATATAGTTCATTGAGTAAATACATGTACAGAACATTTTTGCGTGCGTTTTTAGTAAAATTCTTATTTAATTAAATGCGGTAGAAGTATACTACGTTTAAAATAAAGAAATGCAGCATTGGATTTACTCTACTGCTTTAGTACGAGCAAACCAGTTCTGCAGCCATCTGAGAGCGCATAGGTACTTGTACATGAACAAGGTCACTGGTGCAAAAAATGAAATGAGGAAAGTACCGGTTATAAAAAATGTTATTTTATTTGTTTACTGTGCATTGATCGCATTCAAAATTATCGTCATTTTAGAAGAACTAGTAATGAATCTATTCAATGAATACTACAATAAAAAAAGGTAAAAACATTATTTAACATTATTTGTGTAAAATGTATTAGTTATTGAGATGATTATCAAAAAGGATATATGATAATAAGTGTAACGTAAACGATATTCTCGTTTCTCTTCGATAAGAGTGGAGCTTTAGACAGTATTGAACCTTGTATTAAGAGATTTGATTACTCATGACTAACAACAGATCGTAAGATTTCTTACTAGTTTCCCTCAAGCACCGTTTTTGCTACTTCTAAGGGGGCGTCCATTAATCACGTGAGCTAGTTTTTAAGGATTTTTGGACCCCCCTCCCCCTTGGTGATACGTGGTGATATTCAAAATTACCCCCCCTCCCCCACCAAACATCACGAGTATTTTTAGTTAAATGAAAAAACTAAAATTTTTGATTATTTTTTGAAATGTTAGATTTTTTTTAAAAAAATCAGTTAAAAAATAAATACACGTGATATCTTACCATACCCCCCCTCCCCCACGTGATATTTCGTGATTTTTCGTCAAACCCCCCCTCCCCCTAAAAACCTCACGTGATTAATGGACGCCCCCTAACCTGATTTCTAACCTGATGCAACTTTTCACGTGAGTTGTTTGCGAGTAAGGCAAAGTAACTGTAAGTACCGAGTAATACAATGAAAATGAAGTTCAAAGAAAAAAACATTGTGATTACCTTACATGACTCGGCATGTCTTTGTATAGATAAAGTATTCGAAATTATTAAGCATTTTTATGTAATGAATTTATAATGTTCGCCATTATTGAATTTTTTGTATAAACATATAAGCGTTCAAGCTTATCATTATAATCTACTAAGTGTACAGCAAACCACTTAACAACCATTTTTTATCATTACACACCTTTCTGATTGCACATTTTCATATCGCAAAATCGATTGATATAAAATTTGCACAAAATTTGATAACTGCTTTTATGTCGAATTCATTTTTATCGAAAGTTGTCAATCTTGACCTGACTCAATACGATCCTTGTTGGTTCTGACGTTATCAATGGTAATAAATTATACGTAAAAGGTTTATGTTTTAACGGTTTCGGTGAAATCGCGAATAATTAGTTACCTAATATTGTTTATTGCAACAATTGGTCTTAATGCATGGTCATGGATTATATTTTGAATGAAATATGATTTCAAGATTAATATTCTTTTATAAACTTTATTCAAGGTTTATGCACTTATGATAAATGATACCATAGATAAACGAAACCATAAACCATGTCTGAAGATGATTTAGTTAATTGATTCAAATAAAACGAAAAAAAACTCCACACATTAAAAATTAATAGAAATTGAGAAGAAAGTATTTAAATTCTTACAAAATAAATAAATAAATACAAATAGATTATTTTAGTTATGTGGTAAATAATGAACGTATTCATGGTGAAAACATAATAGATGTTAATTTTGATAAAATAATTGAAGTATTTTACTTCATTCACTTGCGTTACTCATACACCAATAACTCAATTACCTGAAGATCAATTATACAATTATTTTTAATCCAGACACCACCTGACCAATCGTACATTTAATTGAAAATGCCAGGCAGACAAGACAAGCAGTCCAACTTGATTTAAAACGAGAAAATTATATTGCCACCCACTAATTTAAGAGAATATATGTATGTCTCTTCGTGATTATTTTATTTAATCGCCGGTTTTAAGTGCTTTTTACGCAATAGCGAACATAATTAGGGCAATTCATTGAAAAGTGAAGATGAAGAAATGTTGACCTTCGATACTGCTTTTTAGTACTTTGCGAAATATTAAAAATAATTTGAAATTGCAAATATTAATGTTTAATTAAATTTAAAAAAATTAACGTATATTTCTAGTTGTAATGAATTTGTAATGTACATGAGATATATCAATATCTTTTTTTTTATTTCATGCATTCGTTTTTATCGACAACAATATTTATTGTTTCATAAGTATAATCCAATCTTAATAATGTATTTCGCAGTAATTACAAGTAGAAATCGCATGTAAACCTTGCTCAACAAATTATGTTAAGTTTTGTGATGTAGAGATAAGTGTACAATCAGTTCTATAATTATTATGAAAATTGATGTCTTAATCGCTTTCAACACTTTATCTGCACAATTGTGCTAAGCGGCTTTCGTTTACTTTTTTTTAAACAATTATTCATGTATATAATTACATTAAAAAATGATTAAGTTCTGATAATTAACCTGAATATACTCATTGCAGATTAAAGAATTATTATCGGCATTAGGACTATCGGATCATGTCAATACACAAACCGGCAGACTTTCGGGTGGTCAGAGAAAACGACTTTCTATTGCCTTAGAAATGATCTCCGATCCTGCTGTTCTGTTCCTGGACGAACCCACAACGTAAGTTGAACAAAATCAAGTCACAATAATATAAACTAGTTGGCATTGGTATTTAGCCTTGAGGCAAGTTACATAAACTTCCCGATATGTGTGAATAATCGACTTAATCAATAAAATATAAATTAATTTATGAGTGATTAAAAGTATTCCGAGTGGATTTATTACACATCATTGAAAACGTGTACGAACAATCTATACCAAGTAAATCATCTAATTTTCATTTTAACAAACATCAAAAAAACTACTCATTTTCTCAAACTTTGATGAATTTTTAAAGTTAAACTACTTGTCGTAAGGGCGTAATATTTCAGTAAGTTCTATAAGACCAGGATATATACCGCCAAAAAAGTTCCATAAAAATCGGCTTAAATTTTTTTTTCAACAGTTAATTACAAGAAAACGGCTCGGTACATTTTCACCTAAAACTAATCAGTATCATTCCCAACTAATATCTTTCGAACAGTTTTTGATTTTTTAAGTCGATTCGGTAGTATGAGCTTAAATGTAGACGAAAAGTTAAACCCTTTTTTCCAAATTACAAAGAAACGGCGCGGCAGTTCGTCGCACAAAACTGAAAAAAGATAATCTGCTTCAAAATACATCGATTGACTTTTAAATTTTTGAAATCGGTCTAGTCGTTTTTGAGAATACGTCGATGAAAGTTCAAATTTTGACAAACGTCAAAAAAACAATACTAATTTTTGCAAACTTTGACAAATTTTCAAAATTAAACGACTTGTCGTAGGGCCGTAATATTTTAGTATGATTTAGAAGACCACGATATCTATCACCAAAAAAATCATGAAAATCGCCGAATAATTTTTTTTTAACACTTCATTACAAGAAAACGGCCCGGCCGATTTTTACCAAAAACTAATCAGGTCGATTCCCAACCAATATCTTTCGAACGATTTTTGAATTTTCAAAATTGATTCAGAATTGCAGGATAAAACTTGGACGAAAATTTTTTCACTTCTCTGCTATTTACAAAGAAACGGCTAGGATAAACGCTAGTCCTCATCGAGGTACATCGAATGGCTTTCAAATTTGTGAAATCGGCCCAGTCGTTTTTGAGAAAACGTCGATTTACGGCAAAAAATCTGTTCACAAACACGCACACACATACATACACACACATACTTTTTCCAAATTTGGTCTCATTCGATTCAGAATGGCTTGAAACGTCGAGAAAACATAAAATTAGCGAATCGGATTTTTTGATGAAAACAAACGTCTTCGGGAAGTTAATAAAGTGATAATAATAAATGAAGATTTTTAGAAGTGATGAATTTAATAATTATATTTCATATTATTGTAACAGTGGTTTAGATTCGTCCTCTTGTACGCAATGTATAACTTTGCTGCGTTCCCTGGCACGCCAAGGTAGAACCGTGGTTTGCACGGTGCATCAACCTTCCGCCTTGCTCTTCGAGAGATTCGACCAGATTTACGTGCTGGTGGAAGGACACGCATTCTATAGAGGTTCTCCATTAGCAGTACAGCCATTCTTATCCGCAACCACTGGTTTAAGATGCCCACAGTATCATAATCCAGCTGATTTCAGTAAGTATTTAAAAGGGCAGTTGTTGATATTGAATGCAAATTTTCTAAGATATTAACCCTTAACTGCATGATTTTTTCTATTTCGTTAAAATAAATCAGGGTGATGTAATTAATGCTCTAGATGAAAGAAAAAATACTAAAAAAATCCTAATGTAAATAGAAATGTGTAGGATGTAAAAAACAATATGATGGAAATTTACATCATCATGCATTGTCACATATTTAGCTCAGTAGTAAATACATTAAGAAATATTTTTTACTCAATCTTTTTTATTCTTTATACTGTTTTGTTGCACTGTGTGAATTCAGACTTAGCTAAAAAAAACTACCAGTGGCAAAGAGGTATAAAAATTATCAAAGTGTATGATATGGTTTTGCTTTCTTGGCACGACAAAGCAAACGAACTACGACATTTCCTGTTGCATCAAGATCTGGGTCATCTGTGAGCTTCTCTGTATTCTCTTGTGCAGAATATACCTCAAATTTGTGGGCAAATCCCATCAAATCACAGACAACATATAATTTGAAGCCTCATTTATGGGGCTTCTTAGGCAGATATTCTTTGTGAAGATCATTGTTATTAAAATGTAAAGATAACTAAATAAAGTTATCTTTGTTCAGCGCCACGGTTGAAGAAATGGGTTCATATCAAAACTTTGGTGACCAGTATGATCTTGTGCTAGAATTTTGTTTGCCAACCATTACTGCATAGTGATGTAAATTCCATCACATAGTTTTGAAAAATTTATTCACAGTGTTATGATATAAATTGTACAAAAAACTACAAAAACATGAAAACAAACCTTTTCTCCGTTAATTTTCATTTTTACTGTATTTTATATTTCCGTTTATTTCCTTATAACAAACTAAAATCTCCCCCGTTTTTTCGAGTCACAACAAAAAGCGCAATGACCAAGTTCTAGGCCTGGTAATAGACAGTGACGTTTGCTATTTTTTTACAACTGTGTTTTGTTGTACGCAATAGTCTCTTAAAATGTTACAGCAACAACAAATTTACAGTACAAGGGTTTTGAGTATCTTTTTTTGTTGACTAAATGTTATGATCGAAATTTCCATCACCATGCAAAGAAGGGTTAATGTAAGTCAGAGATGGGAGAGCATAAAAGTTATACTTATGAGTACAAAGTAAAATCCTAAGTCATCCTACGTCGGCTTCATATTCCTATATGACGAAGTACAAAATCTCGGAAACTCGCAATAACACATAGCAGTTCATATTACAACACATTGTCAGAATATTTTGCCTTGAATGTTTCCTTGCTATATCAAAATACAAAATTATTCATAGAATTGTGGTAAATATAATTAGACTTCCCCGAGATGGTAAACAATTTATTACTTGGAACAAGTACATCTTATTTGGAAAAAAATAATAAAAGCAAGAGAAACTATGAGATTTCTCGCCACGAGATTTCCATGTAATTCACAATACAATAAAAATAAACTATTTTGTGAATCAATTGTGCACAATATAATACAATAATAAACTTTACTAACGAGATATATTTTAATGAAACCATTACATGCATCATGTTTTAAATAATTAATATTTTTTATTTTTCTTTTTAGTGATGGAGGTAGCGACAGGAGACTACGGAGCAGATTTATCAAATATTATATCCGCATGTAGTAAATTATATGCTCTTCAAGAAGAACAAGAAAAATTCGAAATGCAAGGAATTGAAGGTGAGATTATTTATGCAACTTTTTTCGATTTGTGTCGGTCATCTAGTTGATTAGACATATAAAAATATATGAAACAAAATTTCATAATAGAACATACAGAAAAAGCAGTCTGGCTCAAAATTGCACATCATGACCATTCACAACATAAAAAGAATAGATGAGCAACTCAATATTTTTTTCACTTCTGAAAAAGTAAAAATAAATAAAGAACGCAATCAACGTAGCCATAAAAATTCAACAATATATATCCACACTAATTTGCATTAAAGTTTACGCACTTAGTGACGAAATTGTATAATATATGATATACCCTTGATTTATTCGCAGAATATATAATCAATCAAATAAAACCAGATTCACAAAAATAATTCGAAACCGATTGAAACTGGTAATATAAAGTAGTATATCAGAGTATAATGAGAACTGGAAATATATGCTAATGTGACAAGCTAGATCTTTTTAATATCAACTAAAAATTTGAATACTCAAAATTTCTTGAATATTTCATGGTATGATATTTCATTTTATGGTTTGAATTAATAATACAATTATGATTGCGTAAAACAAGATTTCAAAATGTAATTACCAAAAAGTATTACAAAATGTAGTAAATGTGACGAAAAAATTAAAAACGTATGTGCATATCAAAAATGTTTATTTTTCGTTACTAATTATTATTTTTTCCACATTTTTCATATGTGCCCACTTCCGAAAATCAAACATCGATTTTTACTATTATGCGAAAACAGCGTTGTTTGTTACTATACATCATCATAAATTTCAATTTAAAAAAAAAAACGATATTTATAAGTATGTGTATAAATACGAATACGAAACCTCATTACGTAAATTCAATTTAATTATTTTAACGTGAATTAAATTGGCCTTGCTCTTGTTAAGTTCAAATATACATGATCTTTATCAAATATGCTTAAATTGCAAAAACTGAAGTGCAATTTATAAATATCGTTGGTCATTATACTCATTGATTTTTTAATCAAATATTATCAGTTGATAATAATTAACAATTTGCGCATCAGACGGTTGTAACATTAAGTCACTGAGTGTTCAATTCTTGTTACAATGTTAGATGTCCAAGGATCGACAAACTATTTTTTTTTTAAATTTTCACAGAATATTTGTTATTTTATGTCACATAACACATAATGTCACATAATTTTTGACTCAATTTTTTCCATGTTTACACCTTAAAAATTTAAATCAAGTTTCCATTGAAATGATCTCCATATTCTAATTACTGATTAACTATTTATGTCCTGAGAGGACCATATTCCTTAGACTTGCTCATCTTTTGAAATGTGGTGATGTTGATTTCCGATTCATACACATTTACCATTAATTTTCCAATGTTACACTTTTGAATGAAATAATTTAAATGATAATTATTTCGAATTCTATATTAATCAAAAACATATCGAGTTTGTACACTACAAATATCAAACACTAATGACAATATTTTAATTCAACTACAGGTTCTGAGAAAGTGGCTCTACTGAAAGAAGTTGAATCCTTAGGAGGCAATGTAGATATTGAATTAGCATCTCAAGTATTTAAAGGTGATTTTGTCAACAATAGAAAATCATTACGAAAACAACAAGCAGAACAAAAACCAATCAGACCTCCTTCATTTTTAACCCAATTTTGGTTGCTGTACAAGAGACAACTTTTGGGTGAACGCAGAAATTATGTGAGTAGACACTATAATTTGTATGATCAGTAACAAATAAATAGAAATAGTATTGTTTTATGAAAATTATGTGAATGGAACAAAGAAATATATCAAGTTTATGTAATTTAGTAAATAACATTGAATTTAAAATTAAAATAAAACAATGTTTGGTCACGCGCCTTATCATTGTCGTAGTACGATATCATTAGTCTGAGAAGTTCATGTAAAAATTAACTTCGAAATTTTGCTTCAAAAATACAACAAAGAAGATACATAAATATGAACAAAATTTATCAACTGCCTTGAACTAAATATCACTTTGTTATACAATTTTTTGATAAAAGTAAATTATAGTTGATATCCTTAAAGTTGAATAATATTTTTTATTTTTCCTTTCAGTCGATGCCTTTACTTCGTTTAGTAGCACATATGCTGATCGGTGTTCTTTTTGGATATTTATATCGCAATGTGGGAAATGACGCTGATTCGGCCCTGGGCAATTATATTTATCTATATGGTACTATGCTTCTTCTTGTATATACTGGGAAAATGTCCGTAACACTTAATTGTAAGTATATTTTAAATTATGATTAAAAATATGAGTGAAAACTATCTCATTAACCTAATGGCCAATTATTTATTAAATTTGGGTCATATTGTGAAAACTCAATTTTTAATTTACAGTTCCACTGGAAATGGAAACATTGGCACGAGAACATTTTAATCGATGGTATAATTTGGCACCATACTACTTATCTGTGATCTTGTTTGAAATACCATTCCAAGTAAATATTCTACTTGAAAAAAGAACAAATATCTCCGAGTGAACTATTCATTAACTTATTAATTCATTCACAGATATTGTGTACTCTTGTATATGTAGCATGCAGTTATTACCTCACTGGTAATCTACTCGACTGGTTTAGAATTGGATGCTTTGTTAGCATAACTATATTAGGAAGTTTGTGTGGACAAAGTTGGGGTTACTTTATAGGAGCTTCAACTCCTGTGAAGGTAATAATACATATATTATAATCATTTTGTAGTTAGAGAAATCCTACAAATTATTTTTTGAAAACATTCTTCTAAATGGTTTCAAAATGAATAATCAAATATAAATAGGATTTTATAACTTTGTATTGGTCTTGGTCCAAATGCAAAATTTCTAGAACAGATTGAAACCCAGTTGAATGAATATAGTAGAGAAAAATGTTATTAAGGAAAAGATGTTTTCTTTGTTAAATACTGGTTATTTAACTACCATTATATTTTCAGATCGCAGTATTTTTGGGTCCAGTTGTTGCAGTGTTATTTTCTGTATTTGGATTTTGTTTGTGGTATGCTGATATACCATACGCACTAAAATGGCTGTTCCACTTATCATATTTCAGAGCAGGATTTCAGGTAAACAAACTTCTTATGTATTTTAATAATTAAGAGTTTACTCGATTATAATAACATTTGAAAATATTTATTTTAACACCAGAAGTAAATAAAACACTTAACTTCCTTCAACAAAGTATACTAATGCATGGAAATCACCATCAATAAATATAAATAAAAATTAAAACATTTTTATAGTAAATTTTATAATATTGATAAGACATCAACAAATGGAAAAAAAATCATTTCTATCACAGAAGACAGAAATCACTGTAAAAATAATTATTTTTCAGGGATTAGTCATATCAACATATGGCTTCAATAGAACTACGTTGCCCTGTCCTGAAGATAAGTTGTATTGCCATTACAAATACACAAAACGATTTCTAATGGAAGCCGATGCAACAGATGTTGTACTTTCTGATAATCTGTGGTTTGTATCAGGAACCATATTTGTTATGCACGCTTTGACTGTTGTTGTGATATGGATGAAATTGAATAAGCGATAGATTTAATATTAATATAGAATTGTTATGATAGGTGATAATGCACTATTATTTATTTTAAGAAACTGTAGTTGAAATACTCATCATATGAGTATAAGATATACAACCTATCTGTTAAGAGCATTATTATAAGTATGGAGATCCTTTCCACATCACATATCTACACAATATTAGGTTCGTTGATAAATTATAATATGCCTTGAAATTTTCTTGCTGTGATAGAATTTTGAATCAAGTTAATATCTTGATTATAACTATTTTTGAGTATGAGAAAGTAGTTCTTAATTTATTATCTGCGGTTGATATATTTACTAGTGTGAAGTTATAATGTTAGTATCAATAGGAATATTGCCTTTCTTATTACCAATATCATTAAATTATTTTAAGTTTATATCAAATGTATTTAGTTTATAGTAATAAAGCATATGCATACGCTCATTATTTTCAAAAATAAAAAGAAAACATGGTAGTAATTCATATTCAATAACAATTAGTAGCACTTCTTTAGCTGTTCATATGAAATTAAAATAACATAATAAATAAAATGTAATACTAAGATTATTTTTAATATATAAGCATAACATTTAAAGCTTTTGATGCAAAGAAACAATTTGTTTAAAATTGTTATTAGATTGTGGCAAATGCACATTGATATCAAAAAGAATGATAAAAATTCTTACAATGCTTTTTAAGTTATGCTCACAATCATAACAACAATGAGAAATTTTGTCAAAAGTAATTCGAAGAAAGATGAAAACCAAGATCTGTTAATTTTCAGATATATAAAGTCGTTCAATGTTCCAAAATTGTTTGAAAATGTATTATAATAGTTTATATAATTTTTTCTTTGCAAAATTTCATTGAAACAAAGCTGCACCTCAGTAAAACTTGAACAGCATCATATGTTTGATGCTTATAATTAATGCCAGTTTGTCACTAATATTATTCACGGACAGAGATCTCACGATTAGATTACAGTTTTCACTGTTAATTTGAGAAGAATCATAATAGAAAAGTTTATCATATATAATATAATAATCATTCAAATCAGTATATTAATATTAAATTTAGTTTATAGATTATTATTTATTATTTGTTGTGGAAGCCAAAAATATTGTCATTTATGAAAATGAGATATTTTCTCAACTTCAGAATTTACTTGAAATATTTCATGTGATTTGTTAAAAGCTACTAAGATAGTTGTAATTGTAATTTTTATATTAAACTAGTTTTTAATTAATATTTACCTTTAAATTAGTCATAATTAACTTTATTTATAAGCAACTAATATTTATGTATAACTTTAATCTTGCCTTTGATTGTAAAAGTTTATAGAAAAAATATTATACAACAATATTGTATTGAGAACAATAAACAAATGTGCCTGAAAACACAAATATGTTCAAGCTGAATTTCAATTTTAAGGAAATTGTAATAATCATATGAAATTTAATTTTAAGCAAATTTTAATAACCATATGATATCTTGATTTGATGAGGATAGGATAATTGATGATTAATTTGATATATCGATAATAATTGCTGCGGAAATGAAAGTCCATTAACTAATCAAGTCTTTTTTCGAAAGTTTGTGGGTGTCTATAAAGTACTATACACTTTTAATTTCAGCTATTGTTATTGAAAATAATATGCATTGCTTTTTGGTGTTAAAAGTGTTGAATGTCTCAGCTTTTCAAGCTGCTGATTTGGTACAACTATTTTTGGAAAAAGATTATAACTGTGGATTTAAACTCTAATTGTTTTAACAAATCGACAAAATTACTTTATGAATTAATTAAATATATTCTTCATGAGTATATTTATTCATTAAAAGTGTTGAATGTCTCAGCTTTTCAAGCTACTGATTTGGTACAACTATTTTTGGAAATAGATTATAACTGTGGATTTAAACTCTAATTGTTTTAACAAATCGACAAAATTACTTTATGAATTAATTAAATATATTCTTCATGAGTATATTTATTTGTCTTAATCTGTTGTAATTGAGCTAAATATAAATAAAAACCTCAATAAAAGTATCGATAGTAAATCTAAATATGTATCATCAAACAATTATTATGAATATACAGAATTCTATAATATTTTTATACCATCATAAAATGTTCACCTTCAAGAATAAACATACACTCCGGTTATTGCATCACAATGTAAAAAGAGACTGATCTTACCTAAAACAGAAAATTTAATACATATAGCAAATCATGACATGTAATAGCATAAGCGAAGGAGTTGAATCAATAAATTCATGATCGAATATTGTTGGATTGGACACAATTGTAATAAATTATTTATAAAGTATACTTATTTCATCTGAAATTAATATTAAATTCTAAGAAATTAATTAATTGACATAATAATGTTGACATAAAATTTTTAAATGGTTCTATTAAGGATTGTAAGGATAGCCATATTGTAGGAACTGTTTAACAGCAAAGAAGTATAACATGTACTTGCCTGATTGTCATGAATCCATTTGTGGACATTCCTGGTGTTTAAGAAGCACTTTTATCACAATAACACGACCGAAAGTCTTTGGACATTGGTCTCAAATACACAATTAAAAACGTGTGTTTCAAAAAACACTATTTACGAGAAACAACACACAATACATTTGCAAATTATTAATCTAAATCCGGTGCAATTAGAAATTCATACGCTCGTTAGCTCTAACGACACTTTAACTACCGATTGCTGATATTTTTTAAATATAATAATTCAATAAATAAAAAATTAACACTTACAAATGCTCTCACAAAAACACATTTTTTTTGCACAATTTTCTTACCGAAACCGTAGAAAGTGACATTATTTAACGAATTGCGATTGAAGTGCAGTGTGCAGTGTATCGAAGTTGGCGGCGGATGTTGCCAGATTGTAAATTTAATTCAACCCTCGCACGGAACCCGCGATTTTTGAATTGAATTATTAGTTAGGTTAGTTTAAATTTCTAATATTATGTATTTGTAAACTAAGTGCAATCATTTTATTACAAACCAGTGTCGTATATTAGCAAATCATTTAATAAAATTGCAAACTAGTGGTGTGGCATCGTGTCTTAAGAAAAATTGCTGGAAATTTCCGTACTAGAATTATCAGTAATGAGTAATCAAAAAATCAGTAATCAATAAAAAATGATTAATGATTTATAATAATTGTTTCATACATTTTTGAACAGATAATTATAATCACTATATATTTTATAGTTTATAAGCACTTGAGAAGGTTTAGATTAGCAGGTGGTGAATGAATGAATCCATCTGAGGATATATTTTTCACGATTAAAATAACGCATTTGAAATATTACATTTTGAAATTGAATTGTAAATTAAAAATTCATATTTGAAGTAAACTTTGTAAATATTGAAGTAAACTTTGTAAACTTTGTAAATAAAACTTTGTATATTTTTAAAAATTATGAATTTTTTTTTCGGAAATTTTTTAAATTTGCTTAAACCGTATAAGTAAACTTTAAAAATTAAAAATATTGGTACGGAACCCAACAAAATTGTAATTAAATTAGTACTTATTTTTAAAAACTTCATCAAACATCTGATAATTTCATGTGCATAAGTCTAATGTTCATTTTTACCACCAATTTTTTTTACTTTTTTCTCTGTATCTCTGAAACCGCTAGACCTGCCTTACCAAAAATTTTATCAATTATTCATTTCGTCATTACAAGTAAAATGTATTTTGAATAATTTAAATCGAGTACTCCGTTCTCTTAATAACTGAATTACCGTTTTTGCCTCTTTTTGCTCCATATCTCCGAAACGGCTAAACTTGTCTTCACCAAAAACTAATCAGCACGTCTTCTTATCAATAAGAATCTAATGTTATTTTAACCATTCGAATCGGTTGATTTGTGCGCCCGAAATCGTGGAAGAAAAATTGTATCCAAACATACATACATACTACACACACACACACACACACACACATACATCCACTTTTTCTGAGGTATGCCAAAATGTCCAGAATCCTTTGAAACGTAAAGTTATGCAAACGTTTTAATTTTAATTTTTGTGTGATTACTATAACTTACCCTACGGAAAGATAATAAATATTTTGAAGCAATATAAATATGAGTAAGAAATATAAGAATATGTCTTTTATTATTCTCATACATAAAAAATGTATAGAATTATTGTCACAGATAAAAGAAGTATATATAGTATATTATCCCATATTTGCAAAACTCAAAGTGAGAAATCAAAACATTTTTTTATATCTAATGTATGTTGTATTAATTTGATGAAGTATTTTATTATTATGTATTTTATTATATTATGTATATCATACTCATAAGCGTTACTGTATCACGTACTATTACAAAAATGAAAAAAAAAACAACATTAAAAAATTCACACAAAATCATCACACGATTCATAACATCAAAAGAAAGCTTTCAATTCACATATGTATTAATGAAGATTAGCGTTTACACAGAGACACAAATATATAAACTAAAAAATAGATTTAATTTAGAATTTTTAGAATTTTTAGAAGCAGACATTTACACCTTTAATTATAAGTTTCAAGGAATAGAACAAAATATTATTATTATTATGTTTATTTAGTTTAGTTATATATTATAATTTTTGACAAAGGTGCAAATTGAGCAAGTGTTTATTCAAATAATTTTCAATTTGAATACTTTAAAGTTAAAATTTTTTAACTATTCTGAATAAATTAAACTAATTAATTAATTACTAATAATAATGTTAATTGATTTGTATAATTAAAACTAACTTCATTTTGCACATAAGTTATAAATTTAGACTTGCAACTTAATAAAGCATAATACTATGGAGTTCATGAAAATAAAAGAAAGCAGATAAAGGAATATAGACATATATACTACAATAAATATGAATAAAAATTTTAATTTCAAAGTTTGCGCTAAAAATATCCGGCAACAACGCTTCAAACAATAGATTATTACATCCTTCTAATCAAACTCTGCTTTCACAGGTGATTCATTGCTATAGTTACGGGCATGATATTCAGAAGTTTGTTAGAAAATTTTGGTCATTTTTGTTCGTGATTAAAGCTTGCCTTTGGAAATTTATTACAATAAATTTAACATTTTTTGCAATTAAAGTATGGAAGTACCTAACGATAAAATGAAATTAGATGATGAGGAGTCATCGGATTATGTGAGGCAAAAGAAGAGCAAGTCTTTGCTGGAAAAGTATGATATACCTGTAAGCCATCTGGACTATAAGTATATTGAAACATGCCAAAACTCTAAAGAAATGGAGAGAATAGTAGTAATATTGAAATCTGGAGAAGAAGGATATTACCCAGATTTACTGGACAAGGCAATTGATAGGTAATATATTTTTTTAAATGATTTATTGAACTTTACGTGCACCTGTTAATTCTTTTCACTTGCGTACATAACCTTAAAAGTTACAAATTGTTACTAAATTTTTTGTTTGTTTTAATATAATTTTTAAATTTAATTTTTTTACTGATTAGTGATCAGTACATCTCATTCACTATTGGTGATTAGTGATTAGGGACAAGTAGAAATATTTGGAGTTTTATACTTTTTGTAAAAATTAAATAGTATTTTTAAATAATAAATTTTTTTAGCTAGCTGGTTGATAAAATATGTGCTCGCCATTTGCTTTTTATTGTAAAATTTCTCATACATTATATTCCAATTGTTCAGCACATCAGCAATTTTTATCATCAGATTTATTGCAATAATTTTATGTTACTAATTATTTGGATTATATTGATGCTTAATATTCATTTTTATTTAATCACACGGGGCTCTTGAAAATCTCTAACCATACTTGTTACTGTCTCCTTAAAAAAATCATTGAATATGGGCAACTGTATTAAAATATTATTGCTGCTCATCGATTTTTGTAATATTGATGATATTTTATTAAAATTGGTAGGTTAAGGGTCCTCAAACCTAATAGCAAATATCTAAGAGTCGATGAGCCGTTGGTGCGCAGTTGCCAGCTTAATCCAGATTCTCGTGAGGAGTTTCTTAACGAATTTTCAGAATGGTGTGGCGATATGCAAGGTATGAAATAAGATGGTTTTTAGTTAAAATGCACCAAAAATTAAAGAAATTAATAAACTATATTTATTTGAAACCATTTGAAGTAAATCTGTTAAGCTCTATTGCTTTAAAGCTTTTAAGAATGTTGTATTTGAAATAATAGTATAGAAGCTCGACATACATCAGCTTAATTATTTTGAATTATATATTTATGTTCTTTTACTCTTTCTTGAATATTTACCATGATTTGTGCTTACTACTAAAATGCCGTTTAGTAGTAAACTGCTATAAATATTCAAGAAATAGTAAAAGGACATGAACAAGGACACCATGGTGTAAAACCATTTTTGTATTTCTGATTTGCGAATATTTGTAATTTAAAATAAATATATTTTGCAGGAATCGAAACCGACTTGAAATCATCTAGCATCAAATTCAAGAGTCAAGCAGCTCAAGTAAAATCTCGCCGCCTATTACCCGATATTCGAAATAATACTTCTTTTATGACCGATTCTGGAGAAAAACGTTGTGAACGTAAAACAAAACGAATTGCAGCTTGTGACTACGAATCTTGGGATAAATATGATCCTGGTATGATAATAAAATACGCTTATTATAATAGAAATATTTCTTTAGATGAGTCAGAATAAAAGTTGATTCGGATGATCTACAACTGAACATACACATAATAATAATTAGTAGTCTGCCAGAAGGCAGGTTTATGGTGTGAGAGAATCAGAAAGTAATAATTTCTTTCCTCCACCTGTGTTTATCATTCCCATTACCACACTCCCTCTATTATCCTCATCCTCTCTATTCGTCTCCAGCACCACATTTCAATACTCTCCAGGTAGTTTTTGTTGGCCTTTTCTAGAGTCCACGTCTCTGATCTGTTCAGAGATATGCTCCAGACACAACACTTTATTTCCAGGACATTTTAGATATGGTCCAGACATAGCTAATCAGTAGCGTTCTCGTATTCGTAAACGCCGCCTTGGCGCTAGCGATTCTTTCCCTGATCTCTCTCGTGCAGTATCTTTCTCTGGTCAGGATGATCCCAAGTATTTGAAGTAATCCACATTCTCCAATTGTCGATTTCCTACCGTGTGTACACACACACAACCGCACGCACACAGATATATATATATATATATATATATATATATATATTAGGGTGGTCCTTAAAATGGTTATTTTCGAATTTCCTTGCTCCCAGGGGCTCAAATGGTTCCAAATTGATAAAAAACAATTCTCTGAAAGTTTTAGCTCTTAATATTAACGTTTAGATAGAGCGCAATTCAATCAAAGTTTTGTATGGAAATAGCATGGAAAAATTTTCAAAAATTTTAAAAATGTGTTTTAGATGTAATTTAACGAACAAATGAATGAATAAAACTCATTCATTTGTCGCTAAGTTATACCTAAAACATTTTTTTTAATTTTCAAAATTTTTTCCATGCTCTTTCCATACAAACTTTGATTGAATTGCGCTCTACCTAAACGTTAATATTAAGAGCTAAAACTTTCAGAGAATTGTTTTTTATCAATTTGGAACCACTTGAGCCCCTGGGAGCAGGAAAATTCAAAAATGACTATTTTAAGGACCACCCTAATATATATATATATATATATATATATATATATATATATATTGATTTGGAAATATGAACAAACACTTTTTTGCACTAATTTATTAAATAATAATTTTCACAAACGTTTCAAGACTAGGTTTTTCTCATCATCAGTGTGTTATAATTTAAAATTCAAAATGTGGAAACCTAAATTAGCATTATGTGTTATCCGTTACAAGTCGTTCGATATAGTGTCTTCTGCCCCACCAACAATCGTCGGTGTCCGAATTCTCTATTCAATTTCAAGTGGTTTTCAAGTGGCTAATCACGCAATATCAGATAGGAAAGGAAGGATTAGGGTTCAGTTGAAAAATAGATGTCGTTAGGAGAAAAAATATTCTATAAAATGAGACGGTTTGTTTATAAAATTTGTTTTAAATTATTATAATTATCATAATTGTTGTTTGTTCATATTTCCAAATTAATATCTATTATCCACTCAGAATAAATTTGTTATATATATATATATATATATATATATATATATATATATATTAAATATTCCATTTTTTATTATAGATACAGAAATATTGAAAATGGAATTAGAAGAAGAGAAGAATCGCGAAGCAGCTGCGAAGGCACATGCTGAACGAGAAAGCGCAATAGCGAAGAAGAAAAACAAGCAGGCTATGGTCGATCTTTTATCTCATAGCGAGAAAAAATTGTTCGCAGATCGCCAAAGAATTGCTGGAAATGAAAGTTTCAGATGTGGCGACTATAAAATTGCGTTAGTACAATATACGGAAAGTATCGAATTGCTGCAAACAGCAGCAGCTTACAATAATCGCGCGGCAACATATTTGAAGCTCAAACAATTCAATGAAGCAAGTGAAGACTGCAATAGAGTCCTAGCACTCGAACCGGATAATGTAAAAGCTTTGATTAGAAAAGCAGAAGCTCTACAAGGTTTAGAAGAACATGTTAAGGTTAGCTGGATCATAACATTATTTTCTAGGCAACAAACTTTTGAGACAATGTTAGATCTGCATTTCATCATAGTTTCCTCTTGATATCTTGCAGATTTACAATTAGTTTATATTTTTATATTTATTACTAAAGTTTTGTAATGCAAATTTCTTTGTTATAGTTTTTCACATCTAGGAGTAATTTTGATCTGATCGAAATTTATAGATTCCAATATTAAGTGAAGGTAAAGATAATAATAATGAGTTAAACTCAACGCGCTGATTAATCGGCTGGAGTTTGTCCAAAACTTCAACACAAAAAAAAAAAACAAAAAAGAGCTTGCTAAAAGATCGTTCAAAACAATTTTCAAATCTAAAAATGCTTTGGAAAAGAGCGATTGAAATTATTGCAATGATTTTATTTATATACATAATTGATGAAGCTAAAATTTTAATAATTACTTAAAAATTAAACAATCTGAAATGAACATGTGTTATAAAATCTATATTTGAGAGCTGCCTGATCATTTTGAAATACCTGTAAAAAAAAAGAAATTAGAAAGTGCATAATACTTAATTTGCTTGTTATTAAATGTGTCAGTATAATTAATAAGTCAATAATATTAAAAACTATATTTGATATATTTACCGAATATTTCAGGCTCTGGAATATTATGAGCAAGCCATCAAGATAAATCCTAACAATACAATAGCACAGAATGGTGCGTATGAGTGTAGCCGGCGCATTAACAAATCCAGTAAAACTATCAGGTAAACGAACATTGATTTTGACAAAATATAATAAATGGTATCAAAGTAATGCTGAATTTCTATATTAATTTCTAGAATGCGTATACAAGACGAGGACGAACAGCAATCATCCTGCACAATTGTGGAACTGGATGATTCGTACGAAAAGTTGAATGGACAAAATGAACCGACAGTATCGTCCCAAAAAATAGTAGAACTAAATGATACGGAGGAGATTGGTGAAATAAATAGAGATAATAATGACAAAAGAATGAATGGTGATCACATGGATATCAACATGAATAAAATGATAAACACAGGAAGAGAAGATCAACTGAACAGAAACGAGGCAAATAATAATACTCAAGGCCCAAGGAATCGCACATGCTTAGTGCCGATCGCATCCACATCTGGATTTCAAGGACCAACAGTTATTGAAGTGACGGTAATTTTATACAAAATTAGAACCATTTGTTCGTTAATTAATAAAACTTTCCCCTATACAAACAAAATAAAAATTATAATCAGATTGAAATATGAAATTCACATAAATCTGCAACAACACTTTTTTGATTTTTGTTTAAATTCAATTACTTTTTAAATGTATATTAGTTATAAATTTTAACTACATTTTGTAAAATGATGGATTTTTATAAAATGCTTATGAATAGAAAACTTTTACAAATTCCATTTAATGCAAAATTTAATACAATAATAGTTTAACACATATTTCATGAATGTTTTATGCTCTACATCAGATTCCCGAGGACATGCCGCTCTCTTCTATTGATCGATCATTATCACAATCACAGTGTATGACATCGACTTCTGAAATTGATACTCATTGCTCTAATATGGAGGACCTCACTTCAGCTGATATAGAAACTATTCTTATAGAAGAAATTGAAGAGAACGTGGTTATTGAAGAAATTTCCATACATGACATGGAAGTAGCGGACACGTTAATTGAAGAAGCTAAAAGTCCGAATGATTCGTCCTGTGATTTTACAGTATATTGTGATAAACCAGAAGAAGAAATCTTGGGGATTGATCAAGTCGATGTAAACATGGAAGACAAATCGTCTGATTTCAATGAGGTTGAAAGCGCTAATACATCAAATATAACAGAAGCAGAAAAGCACAGAGTTCCATTGCAAGAACAAGATTTGCGTAAACAATTCAAAAGAGATAGAAAAAGAGCCAGACGAGTTGAACGTAATACCAACAATTTTATTCTATCTGTTATTTCAGGTCAGGAATTAGGAGCATCACGGTCAAAAGGAAAAATAGAGGTGGCCGAAAAATATAGAATTAAACCAAAAGTCAACCGAGTCGATGCAACAACAGTTAAGAAAGAAGAATCTGAGGAAGAAAAACGGACGGGTGATTTAAGAGTCCGAAAAATTCTTACAGAGAAACAGATTCAAATTAACGAAAGGATACGGCAAAATCAATTATCATCGGAAGAATCTACTTTCACGCCATACGAGTTTTTGAAAACTTGGGAATCGGTTAAGCATGACGATGATTTCAGCGCCAGGGCGAAAATTTTGCGAGCAATGGTACCAGCGACATTGAAATTAGGTATTTACTTTATTTATAATTTCATATTAAGATATTTGAACTAAAGCAAAAAAAATATTGATAAGGTATTATATAATTTATGCCTAAGTATTTATCATTCTTGCTATCATGGGCGTGTTATCCTATAAAATCGACGCTCTTGCAAAGCAAACTTACATGGTTGTCCTTCACGTACCTCGAGCACGTGTACTAGCTTAGGTATTTTTTTAAAACTTTTAATAATATCATTTAACTAATGCAAATGTATACAATATCCTAAGAGCTTGGTTTCATGTAAAATATTTTATAATATCAACAAACAAATTTGCTTTATATCTTCTAATAAATAATAGTAAATGATATACTATGTAAGATATTGGTAAAATATAGTTTTAGAATGTTTATTGTCTGTCTTATTAATAGGATATTTTATTAAAGTAATTTTAATTTTGAGTTCATGACTAATTTTTCATTCCATTACCACACATAGCAATAAAACTGGTAAAAAATAATTATATTTATTCTATGCATTTGCTGTTTCACATTTTAAAATTATGCGAATGTAAGATTTAATGTATGTCTTTTGCAGTTCTGACACTGAAAATAAATGTTTCAATGCCATGGATGCTTGGACAGATATCCATTATTTTATACCCATTATATTGTTAGGAAATGGTGGAATATATAATAAAATATTACATGATTTGAATTTTTGCACGTTTGATTTTATTAGTGTTTCTAATATGCCTTTTCTTTTTCAGTGATAGGAAACAAACTGGATGCTAATATGTTGACAAACATGTTAGAATGCTTGAAAAGGCATTTTATTGTAAAAAACGATAGTACTAATGCAAATTATTTGGCACAATATTTAAACACAATTTGCCAACTACCTCGGTTTTCGGTAATCGCTATGTTTTTGAACGAAGTGGACAAACAGAATCTCAAAGACATTATCGATCACATCGATAAATCAGAAGCTAAGTTATGTGATGAAATCAGAAAATACGCCTCCTGATTTGTTTATTATTTTAGTAATACAATATATTTGTGTATATGCGTTTATATTAAATAAAACTCTATGATAATCATATTAAGTTTATACATTTTTTATAAAAAACTTTTTTATACATACATAGTCCATACTTAGCCATTAGTTGCAATATTTACTTACATCCAAGATTTAGTTTAACTTAACTTTTTAAAACGTAGTAAGTATTTAATTAGAATTGTGCAAACTCATATTTATTCTTTTACTATCTTGTGAACTTTTTAACATATAGCCGCTTCATAATTTCACATAGTTCATAGTTTTTCTCGCTTTATTAGACAAATATGGTAATATTTATCTACAAAAATATACATAGTGCAAACTCATTTGCAAAAATATTGCATCATCTAGTTTCTTATTTCCAAACTATAAAAGAGAAATACATTTCAGGGCTGTCAGTGTATCTTTTAATTCAATAGCGATTGATATAAAAGTAATATTAATGTGGCCATTTTCATTTTCGTTGGCTATAAAAATATAAAATAAATTTGAAAATATTGAATACATCCTACATAATACAAATCTTACACTTAAGAATACATTTTTAATACTAAAAAATATAATACAAAAATTTAATTAGTTTTGAATTTATAAGCTCTAATAAATGCAACAATAAAGTATTTACACAATTTAATGAAACCTAGCTAAATTCAGAAAGAAATTCCTGTGAAAAGATACTTTATCGTTTGAGCCGTTTTAGAACTAAAAATAATTATAAACTAAAATACATTAGGAGACAAGATTTGAAACATTAATTGCACATTTTTTCTTAAATGTTGAATATTACTATCAATAAATATCCTATTGATGCATATGTCAGAAATTGTTCGAAATAATTGATGAAGAATAGACATAATTAAATAATAGTTTTTAATGAGCATTGAGTTTTTCTAAAATCAAATAAATATCGATCCTGTATTATCTGAAAATTTTGGCCTAATTTATTCATTACAATCTATATGCAGATGTTAAAAATAAAATAAAAGATTCTATCAAAAATATTAGACTATAAACTTAGATTATTAAAAATATCCCATTTTTAACTATGCCATCCCTTATTAACCACAAAGCCTCCTCTTTCAAAAACATTTTGAAAATAATCAAAAAGAAGTATTGAAATACATTCATAATACTTTTTACTCTAAGTGGTTTCTCGATATTTTAACTAATTATGTAGAGTTTTATATATAGAAATTTTATCATAATCATTGGCTATTCATATTTAAATAGCACGTTTTTATTGGGATAATGTTATGATAGTTAACATCTAATTTTGAATTTTGAAATCTACCACATATGGATTGACAATTTCATATTTACGCATATGCATCAACATAATTAAAATTATTTAAAATTCTTTAATAAGATACATTAAAACAAACAATAGGGAATGCATTAATTTGCTTAAATTTTATTAAATTAAAATTACTGTAGTTAGATATAATAAAAAATTCATTTATCAATATATATTTATATATTGGTAATAACAATCAAATATAAAATGTGAATGAAGATATAGGAGTTTTCTAAACAAATCTACAATTTTCAATTTAATCTATAAAATAATCACAAGCGCGTAGATCACATATTTTAAAAGTAGTTCAATTAAATAACATTTTTCTTCTGCAAATATATACAAAAATATGTACAAACTATTTTCTTGATTTCAAGAGACAAATGTCGAATCAGTTTTCACAATTTGAAAATATGAACTAAATGAAGGATGTACCGGACTGTTACCATTTAATTGTTATTCTAAAGCAGACTCTTTGCTTTTTTCATGCCAATTTTTAAAAAATCACTTAATTTATTAATTCAATTAATCCATTTAACACTCCATCGACCGCTTCGGGTTCGTATATTAAGGTTAGTAATTGAAAACACAATTAATAGACTGGCGGTCAATAAAGTAAATATTTGCTTCTGAGGTAGCAATAATGAAAAATCAATCAATTTTTATTTGTATTAAAACTAATACAAATATAAATGTAATTATAAATGCATTTAGTAGTTTCTATGTGAAACTTAAGTAGAGTTTAAACAATCAATAATTTTAATACATATGATAAGAAATATATTCTGCCATATATATTTTTAAATAATACGTATTTAAGGTAGCGTTCACCGATAAAATAATTTTGAAATTTTGAAAATTACATACAAAATACTACCAGCCATTTTTAAAAATCGAACTATAGAGGAAACAATTTTCAATAGCGTTAACTACCATCTTGATGGCGATCATAAGACATTACCAGTAAAACGATCAACATTTAGTCACTGATGGGAATAATAATTATATATATATATATATATATATATATATATATATATATACTCTTTAAATTTTTGTGTATTAACGTTATTTAGGTATCGTTATAATATTTTTACCATTGTCATATTTGATATAGTTGTGAGAATATCGCATTATGTACAAAGAAATAAATATACAAATTTATATAATACATACGTTAACATTATGACTATACTGGGTCGTGTGAATAATTGCGTATGACTTAAATTTTATATTTTATATAAAACACATTTTCACTAAAATACTTTCACACCTCAATGGGCTTTCGTTTTTTCTTTTTATACATTTTAGCTAAAATTTACATCACTTACGATACACGCACATTTGATATCCGTGTATGGGCTATAATTAAATTTGATAAATTTTCATAAAAACTCTAGGATCCGTGTAATTATCATTGTGCATCAGTGTATATTGATTAAATTTCATTAAAACCGCAAACTGATTAGTTTTGACGTCCGATGTTGTTTCTTGTATACCTAGCAATTTGTAGATATCAAATTTGTTCGACTTATCTACCTTTTGATGCGGAGTTTCGACTCTAAAATTTGTTTTCAGTTTTTGTTTAGCGTTATCAATTTGGAACTTTCCGCTATTTTCTTCTAAATGATTGCCATTTTGGACGTTTCATGAGCTAGAAAATCTCCACATTTGACTATGCAAAGCTGAATTACAATTTTCTGCCGTAATCCCTCGGTCTTGGGCGTACCTTGAATCTAGGCAAAGATTTAGTCGTCCGTGTGCCAACATACCTCCAGGCAGTTGACGCCACTTTTGGTTGTCGGAGTCATCGCAGAATTTCATGACCACCATGGAACCTCTACTGTAGCGAACTAAGGTGAGACACAAATCATGATGCCGAATTTGGTCTGTTTTTGTTAAAGTCCAGTCTTGATTTCCGCCTGTGTTGTGACATTGGTAAAGACCTGGAAAAAATATACATTTACATCATTGTTAATCAAAATATGTAAATTAACACTTTGACTTTTAATTTAACCGGTTAATAACCACATCAGTCATAAGTGTCTGATGTTAAGAAGTTCTACATGAGGCTTGTCGGGCTTATATGTCTGGCATATGCGATTTGGTATTAGGTCATGTCAATCACAGATGCCCGATGCAAACGATACAATTGCAGTATGTTTCGAAAGCTGATACGACTTGCCAGTCATATATATATATGACATAAAAAATATTTGTTCAGAAATTTTGATAATTTTTTTTGATACATTAAGGGGGTATTCTAGTGTAGAAATTCAAAAATTCGATTTTTTTTATTTCATATTTTCAAAGTATAACTATCTAAAAATATGGGTACAAGAAGGTTTTTAAAAATTTGAATTATTTTCGGAGATATAGGCACTTTACTGACTCGGTCTCCATAGTAGTTTGGCTTCACGCAAAACTAATGCGTTTTTCTCAGAACAGACTTTTTCAGTACTATTGACACGATTTCTCGAGTTTTAATTGACCGATTCATTTGAAATGTTAAGAGAGTCTTATTTATAAACCTATCTATAGCCCGAACTAGGATTAACTCCAAATTCCAATTTTGCTATTTATATATACTATTTTTAAAAAAATCGAAAAACTCAAAAATAAGCTTTTTATTTTTTGCATTGCCGATGGCTGGGAGGGCTGAAATCATGTCAAGACTGAGGTGCCAATTTTTTGCGGCCACCCACTTCATCACTGCCAGTTTTTACAATTTATAACTTTTTAATTTTTTAATTTTTGTTTTGTATTTTAATAATATTAATAAATAAGTGGTAAAAAAATGGATAGTAAAAACATTCATTGCTTTCTTTTACGACACTTTAAAAATGACCTAAAATTCATCGCTCTACACTAGAATACCCCCTTAGGTTTCTTTGATACATTTTGAACTAAATTATATAATTATAAATTTTGCAGAGAATATCCTAAAATTTTCTAAAAAGACGTTGAAGAATTGATTTACAAATGTACTTACTTCGTTAACTATTTACTATTATATAATATATCATATTATCTTATATAATATATCATAGTATATCAAAAACTTTAATATTTATAATTAAACTCTAGAATCATAATAAAAAATATTTTCTTGAAATATTTCTTACATTTACCTGTATTATTATTTACAGTTGCTTACCTACAGTTCCCTCGGCTTGATGACCCATTGTATCCAAACAATGCGAGCCTTGCCGCAAAGAACCCGACAAAGCTATTTCCGGAACTAGAAGTTCCGGATAAACATTTTTCAAATACCAACTAAATGGTTTACATTGCAAACGTTCTTTCAATTCAAGCCGGTCGTCAATGCTGAAAAGGTATGTTTGCTCAATCATTAAAAATATCATATAACGGTATATATATAATACAGGGAAGTTCGAATACTCAATGTTCGAAGCGTAAAAAATACTTACAAAAATTCTTATCAGAGTAGTAACTGATTTTTTCGATGTTTTAAATATCAATCGAAGTGTTTTATTACATAGAATGAAATTAAAAAAAGTGCATTTATATTATAATTTTGAATCTTGTTGCTCAACATAATAATTAAACTGCTTGGAAGCTACAATTTCAAAATACCACTAAAAATTTAATGTTTTTGGCCCTTTGATTCCCATTTTTATACTGCCCATAGAAAAAGGGAAATATGACAAATATAAAAAGAAATATTTTACAATGAAATATTACATTTTACTGAGCATATTTTTATGTTTGTTCGATATGTGTTGTGTTTTGATGCGGATGATTTGATTTTTACAGTGTAATTACAAAAAGTTAAATTGAACCTTTGTGCATTACTCTGCCCTACATATGATTCTGAAGTTAATAAGCTTGGATTATGCAATAACTAAAAATAAGTACAAGGAAATTAATAACTTCTTAAAAATCACATGTTTCAAATCAAACAAATACATTTGCTGTTATTATTAAAGATATGAGAAAATTGAACTAATGAAAACTTGAACTAGTAAGAATAATTGAACTAATAAGAATAATTAAAAGAAATTGAACTAATAAAAGTAATTGAACTAACTAATAACACCCAACTTCTAAGTTCGAATACTCAATGTTCGAAGCGTAAAAAATCCTTGCAAATATTCTTATTCATGAAGACCTAAAAATAAAAACTATTAATGAGATGATAAAAGAAAAGAGCAAAAAATACCACGAAAAACTACCAGGTCAACCAAACATTTATTTAAAATAAGTAAGAAATATCCCACACGAAGATTAAAAAAAATGGCCATACGATCTTAAATAAAATGTCAATAATAAAAAGAAAGAGAGATATCTCATAGGAGATAATTTCTTAAATGCATTAACACCAACATCATATTGTCTTAAAAATGTATTTTATTTTGATTGACAATAAAACTATGAAAAAAAAAATATTCTTATTGAGAAGTAACCGATTTTTTTCGATGCTTTAAATATCAATCGGAGTGTTTTATTACTACATTGAATGGAATAAATAAAGTGTATTTATATTATAATTTTGAATTTTGTTGTTCAACATAACAATTAAACTGCATGGAATCATTCAATCTAGCTACAATTTCATAAAACCACTAAAAATTTAACGCTTTTGGCCCTTCGATTCCCATTTTTACACAGCTCATGAGAAAAAAAGGGAAATATGACAAATATAAAAAGAAATAATTTACAATGAAAAATTACATAGAAATTTTACTGAGCATATTTTTATGTTTGTTCGATATGTGTTGTGTTTTGATGCGGATGATTTGATTTTTACAGTGTAATTACAAAAAGTTAAATTGAATTGAATATATACTAACTTGCTTTCGCCTTATAAATTAAGACGAATATATCAAGTTTGCAGACACTAAAAATTTCAGCATGGTACCAGAATTGATAGTCATTTTATTTTTCAATAAGTGATGTTCGTAATTTGATAAAACATCGTTTATAAGAGTAGTAGTCCTATTATAATATACTGCTATAAGTAAGGGTAGTGAGATTATATATAACAATTAAAATATGCTAATTCCATACTAATATAAATTAAATGCTACCATTTATTCTGTATCAAAATAAAAATGAATGCTATAGCATTTACGTCCACGGATGTGTTAATTAAATTTACTAAACATTTTACGGTGACTATAAAATGCACATTATATACACAGTAGGCAAAACTTCTTACTTTCCAAATGGAATGTTCTTGGCGAGCGGCACCGCGGCGTAGTAATATTTCTTGTAGTCGTCCATCCAGACCTCAGCGGCCCTTCGCGTGTTCTTGGCAAAAACGTTGCCGCTTCCTCCTGGGAATGTGTAAGGGTGCTTTTTGCGGAAGACGTGACCTACTCGACTGCAAGGGACGATCTCGAGACTTCCTCCGCACTGCCATACGCGGAACGATATTTCAAGATTTTCGCCGCCCCAAACGTCCATTTTCATGTCGTACCTTTGTCAGGAAACAATGCGATATGAAAAGATTGAAATAGGAAATGTAGAAATATGTGTTTCTTAAATAATAGGATTTCTATAAATATAATAAGTTTAGAGGTATTTCTAGCATAGGTTTATATATATCATAGTAGCTTCAAGAAAAAAATGTTGGAGAATATTTTCATATGATAGATGCTTTTCATTTATAATTATTCCTAGGACTTTGAATCTTATATTAGCATAAAATTATTTAGTATAAAAAAGGTAAAACTTACATTATGTATTACAAGATTTTATATATATATATATATATATATATATATATATTATATATATGTTCCAATTATATAAATTCCAATAAAGATCCAATGAATGTACTTCGCATGTACTTGTATTGTATTAATTAGTATTGTAACTTTCATTTTGTAAGATAAATTCACTACATACATTGAAAATATTCATTATAAATATATAATGATGATAAACTAGAAATATCTAGTTTAAAAAAATAAAGATTTTTCAGTGAAATTTAGGAAATTCGAAAACCGATTTTTTATCAAAAAAATTAGATTCAGGTGGATGCGAACGGTTTAATTCTTACAATTAATATGATATCGGTTCGATGAGATTTGGAATTATGTATATCGGTCCGCTATGATTCCAAGAAACATTGTGTTCTATTTTATGAACTAATTTAGATTTTTTATCAGTTTGACATCTGATTTCTTTGTGTATATTTTGTAAATTAAATATCGTTATGTATCTGTATAATTATTTTTGTTTTAAAATTGTTTTTTTTGAACCATTTGCTAAAAGACTTTTTTCGGTAATATGAAAACATTTACATATGTGGAAATTATGTATAAACTACTATATGTAATTGTTTTTGAAGGTATAAAGTGATTTTTAGTCATTTATTATTTTTTACATCAATAGAAAACTGAACAGCAAATAATTTCTGTCGAAAACTACTTTATTGTATTTCTAAATAAATATATAATTAAATAAAAACTACTTTTACTACTAAATAAAAACTACTTTTATCAAATCTATTCGAGCAAAAATTTCTTTTCGATATATAATACTGTTCAAAACCGGTTTTCTGCAAAAATTACTATTTGAAAATAGGTTTTCTGTTAAATCCTAAGGCTGAGCTCAATAGATACAGTAAATAGGAGTTAACTAAAAACACTTTGAACAATGACCATCTCAAAATACGAAAGTTTTATGCCTTATAAAAACTATGAATACAAAATTTGAAAAACACGCTAAAATAAAGATTTTAATAATATATTAAGCACAATAAAATGAGCTTGTCCTCGAAAAATATATTTCTCAAGGACAAGTTTTAATTGTTTGTGCTTATAAGCTTATATTTAATATCATAATTTAAAAAGACGATCGACTACAAATTTTTGCACTGTGTACAAATTATTTTTTATTTATTAATGTTTGTATCACTAAAGATATGTTAAGAGCGCTGTTCGATTTTATTTCCCAATACATGTACTACTAATAATAACTAATCGTTTAAAATAATTTCAATTCACCTGCCAAGCTTTTCGAAATACACCTTGTCTATCACGAATAATCCACCCGCAATCATAGGCGTCCTAATGACGGCAGTGGGATCGCTCCTGCGGGCCTGTCTTTCTGCGTCACTCAAATATTCCCATTTGAACACCAAATTCCAATCAAAGCCCCCACGCAAATCGGCGCTTGCCCCGATGTATTGGAACGTGTCCATACTTATCACGTCGATGACGGGACAGACCACACGTGTTGGATCCTGAAATTTAGAGACACAATATTGTTCCCACATACTGTGATTGACGCATAGATCAACGCACGTATTGTATGTATTTGCAACTGAATATTATTTTAAACAATAATGTGTAACTATATATAAGTGTAAATAATTGATATTTTAAAAATGATCGAAGAAATCTTCATAAGTCATCCTAATTGAGCTCTAATTTAGTTATCTTGCAATACTATGCACGCATCTATCAGAATGATTAGTTATAACAATTAGATAAATTGGTATAGTTTATTTAATTCATACTCCTACCAAAATCGGCTTTGTTTGTGTTCGAGTTCCTACCAAAATTGCCTTCTGTCGAGTTAGAGTTTCTGTCATAATCTGGCTTTGTCAATGCCTAAATATTAAGTCTATACCTGTTGCACACGTTCTAGTAATGGTTCCAACCATCCTTCATTACATTCACAATGACTATCTAAAAAGGTAAGAACAGGAGCAACAGCTGCGGCAGCACCCCGTACACGAGACCTCATGAGACCTTCCCTTTTTGAGTTTCGAAGAACCCGCACTTTGCTTATTCTGGCCAACTCTGCACCATCTTCGGCTGTTGAAAATAAAAAAAGATGTTTAATCTATGTACACACATATATATAAATAAATAAATAAATAAACTGTGATATAAATTGTATGAAGATTTTTATTGTTATCCGAATTAATTTCTGAGTTTGCAAATCCATGAACTTAGGAACTGAAAAATAATAATTAATACTGTTCTAGATTGCAACTAATTTCAATAATGCTACTATTCATTAATAACTATAAAAAAAAAACTTACGTGAATGTCTCAATTCATTTGAATTCAATGCAAATTATCAATAAAATGTAAACAGCTGAAAGTACATGGCGTCTCCACCGTAAAATAAATTCCAGTATTGAGTTGAGATTTATTTAACTTACACACAACAAATTTAAAATTTAACAGATCTTCATATTTTTTTTGTTTTAGTTAACGTTATATAGAATTTTTTTTGAATTACAATAAGTAAATAGTATTAAATATTTGAGATATTACATAAATCTAACTCGAATTTCCATAAAATAAGATCTTCACTGGTCAAATTTACATGTTATAAATATTGCTACTTGAATAAATTCAAGCATATTTTATAATATAAAAGGAAGATGTAATCAATATCAAAAGTATAGAGTTACAAAAAAAAGGAACGGCCTTTTGCATATCAAGTGACAAAAATTAATGGAATATAAAAAACGAGAGTAAATACATGGTAAAAATATTGAAAATATAAAAACATCTTAAGCATATTATCATACATTTGGTATCGTATTTCAGGATATTTTAAACTGGTACATAGTGAGATTAATAACCATAACTCACGCAGCAACATAAAATCAATTTTTGCTTAATTCTTGTCGAACAGACTTTTATTACACATAACGTTAAAAAACGTTTCTACTGTGATAAATACCCCCAGGAAATTATGCTCCTAATTAATTATGTAGTAATATTATACCATTATTCCCTAAAAGTTTATTCTTTTGCCGGAAAATTATTAATTATATTAAAATATTCAAATTATTTACATATATTGAAACTTTCAGCTGAGGTTCAAATCAAGCATTTCCATTGACCGAATTCAAGGCACGTAAAAGCAGCGCGTGGCTTAAAAAGTCAATCGAGGGACGTTAATGTTAAGTTACGATATCGGGGTTGCTGCACGCGGTGCAATGTGGGTTTTCCGAAGGGTGTAATTTATCTTTAGATGCCGTACGTGCATGTTCGGCAGTCTCGATTCTGCAGATTTGAAAAATAAATTTGCAATCTGCAAACTTGCATATTCGGACGTTAATATTTTATAAAAATTTAATAAACATAATGTTAGCAAGATGCAAATTTCAGGTATTTTTAACGAGTTCGAAGAAAGTAAAAGAAATAAATTCGATCAAACACCGACAATAAGGCTAGTCAGCCTGGACATTATGAAAGTATAATATACTTAAATTTTCATTGTATTATAATCTCATTACATAAGATAAGATTGTAGTACTTTATTCATCATATATTTTGAATGCTATAGCATCCACGTCATTTTGCATCGTATGAGAATTATTTGTGCTCGGACATGTTAAATGATATATTTTATGTACATGCTAATTCAGACTTATTTGAAAAAGTTGAAATATTTTGCAAATTTTGACACCCATTCAAGTTAATTTATGCATAGTAGCTAAGATGTTGACAAAATTTATTTGAACTATATAAATTTAAATTATATAAATCTTGGTACGAACCCAAACATTGGAAACAAAATAGTTCTAATTAGTAAAATCTCTATAAAATATCTGATGATTTGATGTTCATATATCTAAAGATAATTTTTGACCACTAAATTACATTTTCACAACTTTTTTTTCTTAATGAAATTGGGGCACACATCATAAATTCATTTTATAAAGGTGTACCAAAATATCAGAAACCTTTGAAACGAATGGATATACAAAGATTTTTATTTTAATTTTTTTAGCGTTTACTATATGTAAATGTAGTAATGTACTTGATAAGCAGCACTTCGAGCTTAAGTAGTTATTAATGTCAGTAGCTTGTTAATAATGATTATGGCAATTTTTAAATAATCTATAGATAGATTCTATTGTAAATAAAAATCATAATCAATGTGAAAACATTACAAATCCCTAAATCAGTGTCATCCATGCACCAGTAAGTTTTCACCTTCCTGGTAGCGGCATCGGCGTCCCGGGTCGAAGTAATAATACAAACAATTCGCGCAGCAAATTCGTTTCCGATTCTCGCGGGAGATCCGACCGTCGATGCACTCTGCACGTACGCTATCAGGAGTTAAATTGCACTATCGCGAAATACACTGAATTTGCTGTACGACTTATCGGGGATAAAATTTTGTGTTCGTAAACGCACTCGACAATGCAAGAAACAGCACTTTTCGATATTTGCGAAAGAGTCATTGAATGTACAAAAATATAAAAAATAGTTAAACTAATTTAATTTTAAGAGATTACGTGAATATCGCCGGAACAAACGTTGGATACTAACACAATGTATTCAGACACAAATATTTGGAAAAGTAAACTTAGTCTATTTATAATCTAAATTGCAATTTTATAATTTAATTTCTTTGTTTACTTCTATAAAATCAAAAACACCACATAATAGAATTGTTGACTCCGTTTACAAAGTGAATTGTGATAATTGTGAAAAATTTTATATTGGAGAGAGTTTACAATATATATATATATATATATATATATATATATATATATATATATATATATATGCTTCAACATAATTATAATTCAAAAAATAAAAATCAATTCAAAACAATGTTATATGACCATATGCAAAATTTTGAACACACTTTTGATTTAAACAATCCCATTATTTTATATATTGAACAAAATGTTGATCTAAGAAAGTTTGCTGCATCTGTTTTCATTTTTTTAAATTTACAATGTGTAAATAAGAGGAGGAGTTATTCTTCTTTGCTTTTTGACAGCTATCAAAATTTAATTAATGTATGTAAGTCTGTCTCGTATATGGATTATCAAATAAAGCTATTATAATTTTTCTCAATTTTTCCTAATAAACCACTTTTTTTTCTTTGACAATCTATCTCGCTCTTAGCAATTGCTCCTTAAAGTATTAAACAAATCCAACGAATCAGACAGTCTGCAGACATTGCCCGTAATGAAAGGTTCTCGAATTCAAGTTGTGAAAAGGCTCTAGATCGTGTTCAGATATCGTCGAATAAAAGAAACACCCTCCGAGATCTCAGCCGCCCGCTCTCAACGAGCCCGGGATATTTCCAACACAATATTCGTTCGTCGTAAGTGGATTTCGCACAAAAAGATTGCATGGTAAGTATTCGCGGAATACATATATCAGCATTACCAGACAGAAATAGTGCGGCTACGGCATTTTAAAAGAATAGTTGGTAGACAACTTGCATGAAATATCTGAGAATGCATTCAATAGAGGCAGAAATGCATTGTTTTTTGCCATATAACGGCAATAGCTCTTTCCTTAGTGATTATTATTTCTACTATCCTAAATTTACACTAATAGACTTCATGTTTCACAATCAAAAGACTCTATATGAATTTTTTTTATTTTAAAGATGTTCTTAAAGTATTTATATTTGTGCTTTGTTCAATCGGGGTGTTTGCAACATAATTTATAATTTTTTCACTCGCATGTTGAATGTTACATTTATATTTAGACTATTTCAACTTTCTAAATATATTCCTCCCTAACTCGTTACCAAATTTTAATGCTTGGATTGATCCAGACCAATTTTAGACAGCCCTTTTTCACTTTTAGCAAAGACTGCGCAATTGTTACAAATTATTTCCAAAACAGTTTTAGTTCGACAAATATCAAAATTTACCTCTAAAAGATATAACAAACATAATTAGTATCTCTGATTGAACCCTTATTTATTCGCCAATATAACCCTTGTTTTGCTTAAGTAGACTCTCCAAATCTGAAAATCATCTAAACAATTAAATCACATTTCTAATATTAAGTAATAGTTTCACTAACATTTAGATAATATTGAAGGTTTATTCAACGATAACCATGTTTAAAGTAAGTTTTATCAAAGCTCCCTTTCTAAAATGTTGGGCATGTACCACTCTGCAGTACGCCGAACGCGCCAAAACAATAAAATGCAAATTATATACAATCAGAATTTATGGATAAACTTTTATTTCCTGATATTGCGCACCAAAACACATGCTCGCATATGTTTCAAAAGAAATGCTTTCTTGTGATGGAATTGCCGCAGTATACAGAATAAGAAATTTGATACGAATTACTATGTACAATTCAAGAGAATGATCATTCAAATCGAATGATTGAGTGCAAATTAATTTATTTGCTTGCGAATACCATAAATATATATTTTTTTAGGCATTCAAATGAAATGATATGGGGATTAGACGTTAAAAAGCAGATATTACTTAAAATATAATTC